GAATGGCTGTTGTAACAGGTCTTCCTGAGCCATACAGCCAGAGTAATAATCTATCTATGCTTTGTTGCATGAAAAATTGCCCAATTTCCCTCTCCAGTTCAGGAAATGATCTCCATTTTCTGTGCTTGAAATAGCAGCACCACTAGTAACAGTCATAAAAATAGTGTTGTATGTGCTTCGGAACCTAAAGTAAATGACAAGGACAAGTGTGAGGGGAAAGGATAGGAACTGGTAACAGTGGTAAGGCTGAGGTGGAGGAAAAATGACCACTGAAAAAAGACAGAGATGGCTTGTACATTGAGAAGGAGAGACCCTCCACCGCCATTCTGCCATCCCTCCTACCCACCTTGGTTCACAAGCTGCCTCCAGTAGAAGGCATGGGGAAGTTTTTGCCTGTGAAACTACTTTAACACACTTTATAAGGGACTACTTTGAAAGGTATTGCAAAACTTCAGTTGCTCCACCATCTTGCTGCCAGACTGGGGTCAAATATAGGAAGCGTACAACTGCCTTGTTACAATAGCATCACTTGTGGTGGTGGTGGTATTTCTAAGCAAAACAGAAAACAATGATTATGATTTACAAAACTCTACATGGTCTGCCTATTTGAAACACTACATTCTCCCATATGAGCCTTATGCAGTATCCTCAGGAGAGGCCTTTCTTTCTGCCCTGCCATTACCAGAGGCACATTTGATCTGAATATAGACCAGAACTTTCTTGGTAGCTGCTCCCAGCCTTTGGAACTTACTAAAAAGGCCAGATTAGCGCCATCTGTTTTTCCTCCTGTCAGCAGAGATGTTATTCATACAGATTTCCAATGTCAAAATAAAACAATTTAAATATATTGCGTAAATTAATTGTGTAAACTATTTTTTCTATTATATATATATATCTGTTTTATATTTGTGTTGTAAGCCGCCTAGAGTGGTTGCAATGACCAGATAGGTGGGGTATAAATGAAATGAAATAAATAAATAAATAAATATTTTTTAAAAATCCATTGCTACTGTATCCTGTTTTCCCCCTTCCTATCAGTGCTTTTTTTTTAGTTTCAATGGACAGAATTCCATTTATTCCATATTAACTAGAATTTCAGCTAATAAATAAGGTGCCTGATTCTGTTGTCAGTCATGCTAAGATACTGTATATCATTTATATTTTATGGTTAACTACACTGAGTGTTAATGTTAGTGGAAAGGCAGAATCCACTTCAGCAAATATAAACTCAATAAATAGGGCAAGAGGGAGGCACAGTGGCTTTCTTTTAAAAAATTAAACTCTTTTAAAGAAAACTGTACAATATGGGGAAGAGATACTATTTCCACTGTCCAGAGTGAACAGAACAGAACTGCAGAGTATATACCAGAATTGTTTTCAATGTCAAAATATTGTAAAACAATTTAAAAATCCATTGCTACTGTATCCTCTTTCCCCCTTCTTATCAGTGTTTTTTTTTAAAAAAAAAAATAGTTTCAATGGACAGAATTCCATTTATTCTCCTATCAGTGCTTTTTTTTTAGTTTCAATGGACAGAATTCCATTTATTCCATATTAACTAGAATTTCAGCTAATAAATAAGGTGCCTGATTCTGTTGTCAGTCATGCTAAGATACTGTATATCATTTATATTTTATGGTTAACTACACTGAGTGTTAATGTTAGTGGAAAGGCAGAATCCACTTCAGCAAATATAAACTCAATAAATAGGACAAGAGGGAGGCACAGTGGATTTCTTTTAAAAAATTAAACTTTTAATGAAAACTATATAGTATGGGGAAGAGATACTATTTCCACTGTCCAGAGTGAAAAAACAGAACTGCACAGCATATACCAGAATTTGGCCAGCAAGCCAGACAACTCATAGATGTTTTCATTGCTTCCTGGAAGGTCTAAAACTAGCCCTGGGAGGAAAGGATAAAAATTAATGCTTCGCCACAGCCACAGTGCTTTATTTATCTTCAAATGCATTCAGGAAGGCCAAAGACAGCAGGCATCCTGAAAACCATACTTCAGGAAGTTGTATTTGTTTGCTGCGTATCCTGGACTCCTGTCCCTTCCATCATCAACCCTTCATCTAATTATACCAGTTCAGTTCTGCATATACAGTATCTGCAAACAGATCATTAGTCCTTGCATTACATCACAGAAACATTTGCTCTAAAAAGGTTATGTAGTGCTAGATTGGAGAAAACATTGACTATCTTGATCCATACATGAGATTTTCTCTACCATGCTTTTAATTTGCAAGACATTTTATTACCTGGAAGAGCCAATCTTTTTATGGTATATTGTGCAAATTATTCTTTCCCAGTACTGTAGTTACTGACTAAAGAAATCTGCTCATTAAAATAATGTGGCATTCTACTGTTTAAAGGTCTTCTGTATAACACACTTAAAGTGTTGTGTACACTAATAGATGACCTGGGACTTTCTACGACTGTTTAGGCTGCAACTTCCATCATCTTCAGCCTACACAGCTAATTGGAAGACCTTTTGGTAGTCACAAGAATGTCTCTAGGATTCTGTAGGCTGAACTCCAGCCTCACCAAAGAGAGCTGAAAAATGCAGCACCTACATATACATAATTCTCCATTTAATTGGAGAGTGGAGTGGTTCAATTTATATAAACTTTATCTGAGGTGATTGAAACTATCTTTGCCTACTTAGAAAGGTTTTCATTGGTATAATTTAGATATCTTCTCTCTGGCATGGTGTTAAGATCTCCAATGAATAATACTATTGGAAGAGAGACATTTATAATATTAATACAGCAGTTCAAGTTTGCTGGACATATCTTATTGTTCATTTTATTTGTTATTTGCCAATACCCCATAACCAAAGTTTTCAGGACAGACTTCCTATATAGATGATAAATAACATAGGTTTCATTAAGCCTACTTATTATTTCTTCTTTCAGAATAAACTTCATTTAATGGTAGATAAATTTCATACTTCTGAAAAAACAGAGGTGGGTCAAGACATTTTGCATAGGAAACACAGCCTGGTTGGTAGTTGAATTTCATTTCAGCATCAGCAATGGAATAACTTAAGTTTTTACTGCAGTTAGAAGCCACCCACTAATCAAATTTCTTTGGGAGATGTACAGGCACTTGGCAGTAAACAGGTTGTGTAACAGACATACATAGCTCTGTCCTCTTAAAACTTTCCTGCACTCTCTCAATGTTTCACCTTATAGTTGTCCCATATTGTTTGCAATAAAACTCTGCATTTGTTTTACACATGATCAGAAAGATAAACTACTAGTTTCTTCCAATTATTCCCCAAGCACTTCCTCAGTCTTGATTTCAGCCAATCAATCACGTTTTAAAAATGTGATACGCACAAAACTAACCCAAAACAAACTAAAACTAAAAAATAAAGAATACCAACTGCTATATTTTAATGTGAGCTTCCATGGGCAAGTCTACTTCCTCCAACATAAGAGTTGGGACTACACGGCAAATATTTATACATTGCAAATACTGTATTTATAACAAAACCAAACAGCTTTAGAGGCTGGTCTCTTAAGCAAAGTGGAATCACTTCATATTTAGGATACTTGCCAAACAGCCTTTATTTGCCTATCTCCTTATCTGTTTTTCAACACACAAACATCCCCCCCATCTAAGGGTGTGTCTGCAGATGAGTGTGAGAAAGAGATTTGAGGGTGGAGAAGGAGTAAGACAATAAGAGAATTAACATGAACAAGCAAGCTACTTGCCCACTTTTGAAACCAGGCACAGGAGGATTGCATTGAAACTCCCTCCCTAGTCTGGCTCCATCTTTGCAGTCCTTCCACAGACAGGCAAAGACCCTTTTCTTCAGGCAGGCTTTTCCTTAATGACTGGTGGTCTGAGAGAGGTTTTAAATGGACTGCTATACTCTGTTGTTTTAATTGTTTTTTTAATATTGATCCTAGTTACCATTTTAATGTATTATTTGTTTAGGTTCCCCTTGAAATTTAGTCCAGTCATGTCCGACTCTAGAGTGTGGTGCTCACCCCCATCTCCAAGCCGTAGAGCCATCATTTGTCCATAGACAGTTTCTGTGGTCACATGGCCAGCGCAACTAGACACGGAACACCGTTACCTTCCCACAGTGGTGGTACCTATTTATCTACTCAAATGTTTACATGCTTTCAAACTGCTAGGTTGGCAGGAGCTGGGACAAGCGACGGGAGCTCACTCTGTCACATAGATTCGATCTTACTACTGCTAATCTTCTGACCCTGAGGCTTCTGCAGTTTAACCCACAGTGCCACCATGTCCCTTTTAATATTTGTTTAGTTGTTTTAAAATATTTCTATACTTACTGTTTTAGCTTTGAAATGTTTTAATGATGTAAGCCACCTTTGGCCCTTTTGTAGAGAAAGTGTGTGTGTGTGTGTGTGTGTGTGTGTGTGTGTAATATGCACTTTATATATATTTAAGTAAGGTGCTTACAGAGTTAACGGATGTCACTCTCATGCCTTCTTCAGTCAGAGCAAGTAAGTTTTCTCTTAAACAGTTCTTGTTGCGTGACATGTTAATTAACACTTAACAGCGGAGGTTCAAATGTTGTTGACCAACCACTACTAACCGAATTGCGAAGGCACAGAACTAAACCCTGACCCACTTGACTGAACACGCGCTCTTGATCACATCCATACTCGCCACAGAACAGGATCTTGCCTTTGCCCCACTCCCTGGAGCGAGGCGGCCCAGTCTGGCTCTCGAGTACCAACCAAGGCTGTGAGGAAGGATGAGGGATGTTTATTACCCTGCAGGAAGAAAAAGATACCGATTTGGCCGGGCAAGAAACAAAAAGCAGCCAATCACCGGAGAGTTTATCTAATCGAACTAACTCTGACCAATAGCAGGGGGAGAAGATGAGGGGTTTTAGCTGAACCAACGGGTGGGACGG